AACGCCCGGCGATTTTTTTTTTGTTGTTGTAGTTTGGCCTGGGCTGGGTTTGAACCCACCACCTGTGGTATATGGGGCCAGCGCCCTACTGACTGAGCCACAGGCGCTGTCCTGGGGCTTGTATTTTTTTTTAATGCTAGTGTTTTGTTTTGTTTTTTTGAGAGATTCTCATGGTCACCCTGGGGTTGAGTGCTCTTGCATCAGAGCTCACAGCAACCTCAAACTCTTGGGCTCAGGTGATTCTTTTGCCTCAGCCTCCCAAGTACAGGCACCTGCCACAATAACCAGCTAGTTTTAGAGACAAGGTCTCCATCTTGCTCAGGCTGGTCTTGAACCCTTGAGCTCAAGAAATCCACCCAGCTTGGCCTCCCAGAGTGGTGGGATTACAGGCATAAACCACTGTGCCCCACCTAGTTTGCTTTTATTAAATTTCAGACTAATATGCGGGTACAAAGGATTAGATTACAATGTTTGTATCTGTTAGGTAAAACCCTGTTGTAGTTGTGTCCCACACCAGGTGTGCCATATACCCTTACATTGTGCCCATTAGGTGGAAGCACACAGATTTCGCTCCCTCTTCCCTTCCCCTCCAACTTGAATTGAGTTTTTCTCTTTTGTGGATGTGTATTAGTTCATCTACTAGCTTCATATTAATGCTGAGTACATTGGATACTTGCTTTTCCATTCTTGTGATACTTTACTAAGAAGAATGGATTTCAACTCTATTCACGTTGGCTGTAAATGCTACTGTTTTAATTATTTTTTTAAGAGGTAGATGAGTATTTTAAAAACTACATGTACGTTTAATTATTTTTTTAAGAGGTAGATGAGTATTTTAAAAACTACATGTACGTTTAATTATTTTTTTAAGAGGTAGATGAGTATTTTAAAATTAATTATTTTTTTAAGAGGTAGATGAGTATTTTAAAAACTACATGTACGTGCTCACTTTGGCAGCACATATACTAAAATTGGAACAAAACAGAGAACATTAGCACGGCCCCTGCACAAGGATAACACGTAAATTCGTGAAGCGTTCCATGTTTTTGTAAAGAAAAAAAAAACTACATGTACTAAAACTATCAGAAAGTGGGCAGGGTACAGTGGCTCATGCTTGTAATCCAACACTCTGGGAGGCTGAGGTAGGTGCATTGCTTAAGCTCATGAGTTCGAGACCAGCCTGAGCAAGAGTGAAACCCCCCCCCCTCTAAAAAATAGCCAGGCGTTGTGGAGCACACCTGTAGTCCCAGCTACTTGGGAGACTGAGACAAGAGGATCACTTGAGCCCAAGAGTTTGAGGTTGCTGTGAGCTATAATGCCACCGCACTCTACCCAGGGTGACCAAGTAAGACTCTGTCTCAAAAAAAAAAAAGAAAAAAAAGTACAGTTCAAAGAGAATATAGGTGAAAAAATATGGATGACAGGAGACAGCAGTATGCCTTCATTGTTACTATATAGTTTATTTAAACCAAATTATGATAATACAGAGAAGAGACTGAGGTGGCAGCTGCCCAGAATCTTTGTGGATTACAGATGCAAAGTAGCTGGAGACGAACCCTTAGACCCACACTTCAGTTACAGACAGACAAATCAGCTGCATGAATACAGAGAACATAAGACACAAGACATTTCACAGCTTTTTTCTTTGTGTTTCCATTTTAAACATATGTATGTTCCAACTTTACATTTTAAATTACTACTCCACGTATTTTGTGACAATGGTTTAAGGATATAATGGTCACATCCCCCAGACATAAGCAGACTTTGATCTGCGACATGTAACGTCTCAGTGGGATGCCAAACCCTTAACACATAACATACAAAAGAGATCCTTAAAAATCAGATTAATACAATGTTCTTCATGTTGTATAAGAAGAAAGAAAGAGAAGTGGAGAAACAAGACATGAGGGGTGCTTTAAATGTATAGTATCTTGAGGTCTTAAAAATTTCATTCCCTTCCTCCAAGGGAAAAAAAAAATTAACTAATGAAAAAAGAAAGCAACATCATCACACCCTACAATGAGGAAGAACATTATCCTGACAGTGCTTAGATGCTTCCATATAATAAATATATAGCAGGTAGCAGAGCAAATGTCACAAGTATTGGTTTTTATTTCTATGCTTATAAAAAAAATATTAAGCTTCTCTGTGTAGACCAAACAAGTGTTAGCCTCTGGGTGTTGGCCTGGGTGCCTGTACACCAGGGGCTGTCTACATTCCAGGCCCGTCCTATAGCAGGCTTCACTGCCAGCTGTCTGCACACTTTTTCCAGGGGGTGGGGTGGGGAGAAAAAGGAGTTCTTGTTTTCAGTTTACTCCAGCAGGGTTCCTGGCTCAGTTACATGCTCATGTGTTCTGGAAGAACATAGGAAATATCATCCCACGGATGACGATACAGTCCCTGCTTCAGCCTCTTCTGATCAAGATAGTGTCCTAAAAAGAAACAAATGTATCTTTTTGTTAGAGTTTTTTAAGCCTGATGAGGGAGGAAAGGATAAGAAAGGGAACTCTTTCTAATACAAAAAGGATTCATATAAAGAAGTGGGAAAATAAATCTAGATTCATTCCCTAGGAGATACTGCACACTTGGTAAAAGGGAACCATTGGATTTAATTCTTTTTTCCTGGACTAACAATCATTTCTAAGAAGAAATGACAAAGATAAAGGTAAGGGGGAAGTTACAGCAAGAAAGGAAGAATTAAGAACAATGATCAAGGGCTGGGCACAGTAGAAAGTGCAAGACTCCATCTCTACAAAAACAGAAAAATTAGCCTGGTGTGTTGGTGCATGCCTCTAGTCCCAACTACTTGGGAGGCTGAGTTTTTAGTGAGCTATGTACGATACCACTGTATTCTAGCCTGGGAGAACAAGACCCTGTTTCAAAAAAAAAAAAAAAGAAGAAGAAGAAGAAATCCCCAGTGATTAAGAAGATACAACATCTCTTTTATAGAAACTCACCACATGGGCAAGTAGTGTAGCTGAACTGTGGGGGTTAGATAAAAAAACAAAACACCAACCCTTAAAACAACAGCAGTTGAAGCAAACTTACCAATGAAGCCCATACTCCTTCCTAGCACAAAGATGCCATTGAGGGCTCCAATGTCAATATATTCATCAGCTTCCTCCCTGCAACACACAATCAACTTGTAGTTTTAAAACAGTTCACATGACTGTTCTCCTCAGACGGCACTACTTCTGCTCGGGAAAAAGAAACTCTCTTTGGTTTCAAGGTAGAAAAGAGGAGTGGTCTGAGTGATAGGGTAACAGGCAATTTTTGTTTTCTTCTTTATATCTCTGCTTATTTTCTAAATCCTCTATAATGAGCATGCATTATTTTTATAGTTCAAAGGAAACAACAAAAAAATCAGTATATGTTATAAAGAAGAAAATGGCTGAATGCTTACCGAGTGAAGGACCCACAGTGTCTAAGCATGTCTACAAATGCAACTCCAATGAAACCATCTACATTCAGGATGAGATTTGGTTTCTGGGAAAGCAAAAAATTCAAAGCATCATTATTTCTTTTTTGCTTTGTAATCTTCCACCGTTACTACTACTACTATTACTATACATTGTGACCACCATTTAAAAACCTCCTATCAGGCTCAGCACATGTAGCCCAGCAGCTAGGGCACTAGCCACATACAGTGGGGCTGGCAGGTTTGAACCTGGCCCTGGTCTGCCAAACATCAATGACAACAACAACAACAACAACAAAAAATAACCTGGTGTTATGGCAGGCACCTGTAGTCCCAGCTACTTGGGAGGCTGAGGCAAGAGAATTGCTTAAGCCCAAGAGTTTGAGACTGCTGTGAGCTGTGATGCCATAGCACTCTACCAAGGGCGACATAGTGAGACTCTGTCTCCAAAAATAAAAATAAAAAAACAAAATTCCCATCAACTCAACTACTTGGGAAGCTGAGCCCAGGAGTTTGGACCAGCCTATACAACATAGCCAAGACCCCACCTCAAACAAATGAAAAAACCCTCCCACCAGTACCCCCATTGGTTGAGATTGTATCTCACTCAGTTCAACTCCCAGCAGCTAGCAATGGGCCTAACGCCTACTTGATATTTAATACATGTCTGCTGAATTTTGTTAGGCATTAGAAATTTCCAGAAAACCAGATTTGATTTTAGCTGCATAATCAAAATGTAACCTGGCTCTCATTTCCGCCATGATGTTCATTTAACATATGATTAAGGAAATATTAAGGTATTAAGGAATATTAAAAATATTAAGGATTAAGGTTTTCTTTGTTACCTTTGAGGTGGTAATTTTCTCCACTTCCAGTGCGTAATCAAGCAGAGGGGTGGCAGGGAAATGCTGTTTGACATAATCTTTGAGGATCTGCACTCGCATGTCTGGGTTGTTTATCTAGAAATAGACCCAAAGTTACAGAGGGACCCACTCAATGTGCTGCTGTTAAGGGATGTTGTTTGTATTTGTGCCACAAGTGGTCAGAACTGTAAGTGTCTTATCCCAGAGGGGATTTGGGGACCTCATGATCCACTTGTATGATTCCATGTGTCACCAACTGTGACACTGCTGTGGTGCTGAAGGTTTCTGAAGTCCTCTCACATCTCATTTGGGACACAAAACAACCATCGGAAGCTCTTTTAGGTTACAGCTGACTGAGCCCTGGAGATGTTCAGGGGGTTGGCCAGGTGCCACAGTGTTATGCCTCAAAGCTGGGACTTGCCCACCCACCAACCCAGAGTCTTAGATTCTAGCCACCAGCCATGCTGCCCACCAGCTCTGTAGCCTAGTCATGCCATAACAAAGTTCTACACTAGGCAAGCACATATTGGGAGTAGGGTAGTTAAGTATCTCCAAAATTTTAGGAAAAACTCCAGACCTACGATGAATGAAATTAACCATGTGTTAGGAGACCCTTATCTGTCAGTGGGGTAGTGAGATGATCTAGGCAATGCTTTTGCCAGACTCCAATGCCACAGCAACCTCCCTCAGCAAAGACACAGCAGGTCGCTGTCCAGAAAAGAATTAGCCCAAAGACTGAGGGTGGCAGCACAGGTCCAGCATTGTCTTAGAGAGAGGCCCCATACTGTGGATGGGGAAGGTGTTACCTCGAGAGCAAAGTTCAACAAGGCCTAGATGGGATGTCCCTCAGAGCTAACTCCCTTCCCTGGTTGGTTCTAATCTAGTCCTTGCTCATCAAGTGACCTGGATGTCTAACCTGAGATGGCCAAGTGTTTAGGTGTCTGGAAGTGGGTGTCTTGAATCACACACATGACCTCTTAATAGGAAGGTGTCATGCATGCTTCCCACATAGATCAGTGGCGTGTCCGAGTGAATGAGGTTTCTGGAGCTACACAGGCGAGGAGCCCAGGGCAAAGGGAACCACTAAGAAGTTATCCCTGTGAGCTGCTAAGCAACAGCCAACTGCTTCATCTTTCTCTTTGGTTTCTAAACACAGCACATGACCAGGACACATGGAGGACTAAAGGTCCCACTTGAGACTTTATTAACTGTTTAAAATATTTACTATGGCGAGGTGCAGTGGCTTATGCCTGTAATCCTATCATTCTGAGAGGCCAAAGTCGGTGGATTGCCTGAGCTCGGGAGTTCAAGACCAGCCTGAACAAAAACGAGACCCTGTCTCTACTAAAAATAGAAAAACTAGCCAGGTGTTTTATCAAGCACCCGTAGTCCCAGCTACTCAGGAGGCTGAGGCAAGGGGATCTCTTGAACCCAATGGTTTGAGATTGTTGTGTGCTATCATGCCATAGCACTCTACCTAGGGGGACAAAAGTGAGACTCTGTCTCAAAAAACCCCAAAACCAAACAAAAACAAAAAAACCATTTCACTTGTTTGGCCAATGAAATGTGAATGCAAGTGAATCATTTAACTCCTACCAGAAGCTTTAAGAACCTTCAGCAAAGGCAGATGTAGTATGAATACGAAATAAACCTTTATGGCTCAGCATATGTAGTTCAGTGGTTAGGGCGCTATCCACATACACCAGAGCTAGTGGGTTGGAACCCGGCCCGGGCCTGCTAAACAATGACAACTACAACAACAACAACAAATAGCCAGGCATCGGGGCAGGCGCCTGTAGTCTCAGCTACTTGGGAGGCTGAGGCAAAAGAATCACTTAAGCCCAAGAGTTTGAGGTTGCTGTGAACTGTGACACCATGGCACTCTACCAAGGTTGACACAGTGAAACTCTGTCTCAAAAAAGAAACCTTTCTATTGTAAGCCACTGAGATTTTTGGAATTATTACTGCAGCAAGAAACATTACCTAGCCTATAGACCATTATGTTCCCTCAAGCCTAGCCTTAGTCCTTTCTCCTATAAGGTTCACTTGGAAAGTCATAGTTACCGACTTTCCATTTCATCATATTTTCACACTGCAACTGATGAGATAAAAACTGTTAAGAGCAATCTGTTCTTATAAAATGGGTAAAACTGTTGCCTTATATTTGGCCTGTCAACACATCCAAAGTTTTGCATGTTGGGAGTCAAGGGCTCAGGTGCTCCCAGCTAAACTGACACCCTTCCATCACCACCCACCCTGTCAGTCCATCCCCTCCTCCAGGAGAGCAGCAACTCACCGATTTCACTCGGTGACCAATGCCCATGATGAGTTTCCCTTCCTTCTTCATCTTGTTCACAAACTCCATGGGGATAATGCCACTGTCAAAGGCTTTACTGAACATCTTGGCTGCTGCATCCAAGGCACCTCCAAACCGATCCCCCTAGAGGAGAAACATGCATAGATGCCTTGTGGTTTCCTTCGACTTTGCAAACCAACCCAGCATATCCCAAACAGCCCTCAGCACAAGAGTTTACATTCAGAGTTTCCTTCTAAGGACCCTGCTGTGACAAGGCAGCATGATGCTGAAGGCCAGCGTCTCCCCTATTCTCCTCCTAGGATGACAGAACTTACAATGGTGAGCAGCCCTGAGGTAAGGCTGGAGACCAGGTCCTTCCCAGCTCGGGCACAGATGATGGTGTTGTGAGCCCCAGAGACGGCTGGTCCATGATCAGCTGTCACCATCAGACACATCTCAATGAACTGGCAAGAGTATTTGGGTAACCTAGAGGAAGGTGGGTGAGGGGCAAGAATAGGTGGAACAAAGGCCAGGAGACAAGGCCACACTCCTACTTCCACCCTCCTCCCTGAACAAGTCACTTCAATTCAGGAAGGGTAGTTAACTCCTAATCCAAGTCTAACACTGTTGCACAACTCTAAGGCAAAAATCTCCTGAGTCTTGAGTAGCTCTGGGTTTTGCTATGGTCAAATGCGGCTTTTAAAATTGAATTACAATCAGGGTTTAAGATTTTTTTCTTTAGGAAGCAGTTTTCAGCCTGAATTGCTACACCAGGATTTGACCTATATTTGTGGCTACTCTCCACATACCAGAGAGGTGAGACTTCTGGCCCTTTCACAGTGTAAGAGCTCTAAGCCTCCCTCCTGCAACGTTCAACCTCCAAATAGTGATCAAGTCTAAGACAAGCCCCTGTAATCCTAGCACTCTGGGAGGCCGAGGCGGGTAGATTGCCTAAGCTCACAGAGTTCAAGACCAGTCTGAGCAAGACTGAGACCCTGTCTCTAAAAGTAGCTGGGCGTTGTGGCAGGTATGTGTAGTCCTAGCTATTTGGGAGGCAGAGACTAGAGAATTGCTTGAGTGCAAGAGTTTGAGGTTGCTGTGACCTACGATGCCATGGCCCTCTACGAGGGTGACAAAAGTGAGACTCTGTCTAAAAAAAAAAAAAGAAAAGAACAAAGTCTGAAGCCACAGGAAACAAGAGCAGAGAGACCTGCTCAGGTGTTACAAGCTATGAAATTTTCCCAAGGGCCCAAAGTACAACCAAGACCAGTCTCTCTCAAGGTGAGACACAACCAAGACTCTGATCCAGCTTTCTGCTCAGTGTCACCTCAAGCCACAGCTCTGTGAATCACATACTCACTGGCTCCCTTGCCCAGCTGTCAGCCCCAGGGGAGGGGTAAATTGGGACTTGCAGAGAAAACCAATTTTTTCTAACAGTCAGGCTAATAAGAGATGGAAATTTGCAAAGAGAACACAATATAAGGCACTTCGTGTCTGTTCAGCACTGGTACCAAGCCCACACTCCTTAGGCTACTAGATCTTTCCAGGAAGATCTTTTCTTTAAGTCCTACCTTTCTGTCATGAGGTCTGCATTTACTCTGTCCTGTTTCCAAGGGAAAGGGACTGTCCTAAGACCTCTGATGAGGTCACCGCTTTCTGCTTCTCTTGGTTTAGATTGGCCTTTCTACCCTTGAAACAACTTGTGTCTCTTTTCTCTGGTCTTTCAATTGACTTGTGGCCCACAAGACTGACCTTAGACATATCCCCACCCCAGGTGAACCTGCCCACCCCTCTTCCTTTGTCAGTGGAATTTTTTTTTTTTTTTTTT